AGTACCAGAGAGCCAACGACTCCTACCTCCGTCTCTCTATTGGCAATGCACCTTGGCCGATCGGTGTAACCATGGTTGGGTTAGTAGTTGCTTTGCGTTAACTGCAAGACTCTTCCTGACGCGCACGGTTTTTGTCCAGTATCCACGAACGTTCAGCACGAGAAAAGATTTCCGCCGACCAGGTCGCTCACGTCCTGAACGACGAGGTCAGCCGGAAGTACATCCAGAGTCTCAAACGGTCCGTTTCCTTCTTGGATAGCAGCTATTTGTCTCCATGCTCACGAACCTCCCAGGTTGTTGACCTTCTCGCAAACGAAATATCCCCCGGACGATGCTACGCAATTGATGGGATAGTCGTCCGCTCACGTGCGCCGACTCTACTTCTTCGTTTCCTTGTATCATGCATGTTGTATAACGTAGTCCTGGGTAATCTAGTGTGGAGTGTGGAGATTCTACCGACGCCCATCTGTCTTGTCACCTCTTTCCCTTCTTGCCCTTCTTCGTACCTCGCGGCTCGTCACTGGCACCAGGCGCCGCCGCATGTCCGGTTGCATTTATATGTGCGAACAGTTTCGTCCGGCTATCAAATTCAGCTTGGCAGATATTGCATCGCTATGCGTCTCCTATTAGCTCATGTACGACACGAAGTATCCGGACGACTCACCTGTTTTGCCTGTGTGTCTTCCCCGCGCGCCTTCTTCTCCGCTTCCTTTGCTCGCCGCTTGTCCCGTTTTGAGATCTGTGGCAGTGCGGTTTGCTCAGGTTCTTCTGCGGGTGTGTCCGCTGCAGGGGTGCTATCCCGCGTATTCTCCCCACTGCCAAGTTTTAAGGACTGCATGTGTTGCAGATCCTCGAGCTCTTCCTCTGGCCGGCGGGCCTTGGCCTTCCTCGCCGTTCTGGGCACGAACTCTGGCGAGGAGGCCCTCGATTTCTTCTTTTTCCTCGATCGCGATTGCCTGCTGAACTCGTCCTCATCCTCGATCGCAGCCTCTTGCTGCTCTTCATCGTCCGCTCCGGGTTCCTCCGCAGCGTGCTGTTCCGCTATGCGATCATGTGCATGATCCACCACTTCGGCATTATCCTCCTCATCCCCACTTTCCTCCCCTCCCTCCTCGACACCCTCCGCATGCTCCCCCGCACCCAACCCCAACCCCAGCACCTCCTCCTCCTCCTGCATCTGCCTCTTCAGCGCCTCCACCGCCTTCAGGTGCTTCTTGCTGCGCTCGTGGCTGTCCCACGCCGCCTCGCTTCGAAACGACTTGCCGCACGCGACGCACTCCCACTCCTCCTCGTCCGCGCCCTCCGCCGCGGCCCACTTCAGGTCCGCGTCCGCATCGTCCGCGCGCGCGGCCTGCTGCCACGCCTGCGGGACGAACGACGCGGGCGCGGCGGGGGTGCGCGCGCCGGAGCCGGAGGGCGCAGGGGGTTGGGCGGAGGGCGACGAAGCCGAAGCGGCGGCTTGGCGCGCGAGGTGCGCCTTGTAGCGCGGGTCGCGTTTGCGGAGGAACATCGCGAGGGACTGTCGCACGCGCACATTCAGCATCCCGCCCCACTGCACAGGCCGTCGAAGGGGAAGGGAGAGAAACACGCACGCGCACGGTCTCGTTGTACTCCTTGCGCGCATCGTCGCGCGCCTTCTTGTTGTCGCGCTCCATGAGCCGGCGCACGCGGCGGTCCGGCGCCTCGGAGACGTTCCACTGGTCCGTCCACGCGAAGTCCTTGTGCGTCGCGAAGTTGAGCCAGAAGTTGTAGAACGTGCGCGCGGCCGCAGCGTCTGCGCCTTTGGCGGGCGGCGCCCACGGCCACGTCGAGTCCCCGAAGGACGGCAGCGGCGTCGGGTCGTACAGCGTCTCGTCGTGTGCGAGCCGCGCGAAGAGGTTGCGGTAGATCGTGAAGAAGCTCTGTGGGGCGCCAAAGAGAGGCAAAGATGAGGGCGTGAGCAGGGCGCGGTGGGGGAGGGGCGCGGCGTCCTACGTTGTCGGTGTCGTCAAACCCGGAGTAGATCGACGAGTCGAAGAACTGCGCGAGGTGCCGCACGGTCAGGCCGCGGTCGCGCGCACGCGGCGGCGGCGCGCCCCGCTTGATGTCTTCAAAGACCGTCTGTGCATCGGGTTCAGGGGCGAGGGATGCCCGGTGGCTGTCGTACCACGCCCTCTCCTACTTGGGTGGGTCGAGTATAAGTGCATGTACCGCAAATCGCCCGGCGTAGACTTACTTGTTCATCACTAAGGACCTGGGTGTGGGGTCACGAAATGTCAAAGGACGCATATGTGGAGGGACGTACTTCATATGCCTGCTGCAGCGTCGCAAATCGCTTGGTGGCAGCCTCCGTGTCGTCATGATTTTTGTCTGGGTGGTGTATAAGGGCTAGCCGGCGGAAAGAGCGCTACAGGCAAACATTTAGAGTCAGAGACCACACACGCCTACGACACTTAGACTTACCCTGATCTCGTCCTGCGTAGCGGATTCATCCACCTCTAGTAGAGCGTAGTAATCTGATACAGCCGATCCCGCATCCTGCTCCGTCTCTCCAGACGGTTGGCCCGTAGATGCGTTCGCACCCATGACGCTGCTCTTGTGCGTGCTGTTCGTTCAAACCGTAGGAAATACGAACAAGCAAGCCCTGCGCCTCACAGAAGGAAAAAGACAGGAAAACCAGAGAACCGCGGTGTAAGCTGGTGCGAGCAGAAAGTTGTCTGCCCTCCGGCTCCGCCACCGATCGCGGTCTCGCACGTGACTCGGATTTCTTGCTCGCCCCGGCGTTTGCGAAGTTCGACCCAGCATTAGCAGCCACTCGCCCAGGCTTTTCCTTCCCAACCATGTCTAGTTTCTTGGGTTCTCTCTCCAGCGGCTCGGCCCCTGGCTCTGCTCCTCAAGGTAGCGTCCGAAAGCCTGCGTTTGGATCAAGGAAGGCCGCTGACTGATTGCTAGACATGAACGCGCGCAAGGAGGCGATCATGGAGTCTGTGCGCCAGCAGATGGCATTAGACAATGTGCAGGAGCTCCTTAACGTATGTTGACCCCGTAAATGCTTGGTGTATAGGCTGTGCGTTTATGCTTCCTTCTGTACTAGAAAATGAACGAAAAGTGCTTCCTGAAGTGCGTCACGAAGCCCTCGACGTCGTTGTCCAGCTCGGAGGAGGTCCGTCAGCTCTGGTTGCCCCTATGCGCCCGGTTATATGCATACTGATGCTGCGCCTCCCTCAGACATGTTTGGAGCGATGCCTGCATCGTTATATGGAGACATGTGTGTGATTTGTACTCGAGGGAGCATACGCCGCTGACACCCCGTTCGTCCCAGTCAACATTGTGAGCAGGACGTACGTATCACGTATCAGCAAGGAGAAACCTATGTAAAATATCCTTGCTGCATGGTGTCGCCATATCTATCTCGGTCGTTGGCGTACCGCACGACCTGACTCTATCGGGACCGACGGATACCGTTTCGCATCCATCGGCGCAATGCGTGGCGTGCTCCGAAGCCATATAACAGCTTGATCATGTTGCGAACGACATGATGTTTGATTATCAATTCTTGGGTCGGCCAGATGCGTCAGGAGCTCTGCGGCTTGGCTTTGTTGGAAGGAAAGTTGATGGCCAGAGGCGCGGTACGCGTGATCAGTGCCCTTGTAGATGAACTGTGAGTTCGGCAGTACATCTCGCCCACACTGACACTAGATATGCCAGTGATAATGCGAACGAGTCGTACTGACCAGAGCACAGCTAGCTCATTGCGACTTGTCGCTTGACAATATTGTATCTCCTTCGCGCATGCCGAACGGGGTTTGCGATCGCGCAAGGGTTAGGTTCACTTGATGACGACTCTTCGCCGATGCACCACGCTCTGTCATCTGTCACCTGTCACGGAGAAGCATCATTATGGCGTACCTCGCCCTTTATAGGAAGGAGAGTTGCCACAATGGGCGATTCTCCTCGGTTTGACACATCTTGGCCTAATGGTGACATCATCGCCCTACCCGAGAAGCAGACACTTGATCGGTAGCATGGGATCGGCCGACGCCTGTTAGATATAAGTAGCTTTGTCGACTCAGCACTCGTCCGACTTCTCTCTTCCCGTCTCTTGTTCCCCCTCTGCTCTTGTATTTATGCCTCCGACTCGCGCACGCCCCCGCACCATGGGGACCACTGTCACGGTACCTTTGCTAGTGTCATGAAACCCTGTAACTGCTCAGATCGACGGACACGCTTTTTTAGTATATCTGCCACAATTGCTCAAGGTCTACAGTGCGTTCATTCCGGCCCTGCTTCATGCGTAATCGAGACACGTCTTCCTGAAGCACAGGCCATTGTTCGCGCGTTTACCTGAACATTGGACGGGCGAGATTAAAATGAATCCACCAAATTGATACATCTTGCACCAAGGTACAGAGGCTTCCGACAGAGGCTGATTCCCGACGGTACTCGACACTCAAGCCTACGCATCGTTCACGAAGTCTCGTCATTGTCAATCTCTCGCTGTACTGGGTGCCACCATCCCTTCACGGACAGATTGATGTGTACTCTTCTCGTCTGGTGTCTCCTCAACCTCTGTTTCTCGGAGACACGACACTGGAAGTTCTCAGCCAGCCGATTGATCGCTGGCAATGGAGGATTCTGGAAAAGTGCATGTCTCTTTTGCTTGACACTGGTAATGGCACACTCGACTTATTTGACTGGGGAATTGATCCGGAATACTCTCGATAACGGTCCTTGATTCATAACACCAGATGGCCTCAGCCGGCCACGATAACGTTCTGTCTTTCACTCAAGGAACTATTTTACTATACTGCCATGGTTATTGATTGTTACGGGACGCATGGAGGTATGTTAGACAGGTCGTTAATTTTGTTTGTGTGCTGAACCTTCTGTGTCATTACGTCAAATGGCTGAGCAGGTGGATTTATCCTCGTGCTGGCAGACTTCATGCGAGCTCTTTGCAGGATTCAGAGATCGGTGCGTCAATTACGGGTCATGACCTTCCTGCAAGAACATCTAACATGTCTCTGTTAGTATATCGGTTAGTACACGCGCCTGTCACTGCGTCGGGGAGTCGAACCCCGGCTTGGACGCGCGAAAGCGGGGTTCGACTCCCCGACAGAGAGTATATTTTTGCCCTTTAGTACGACACTCATTCCGAGAATGAATACCTAGCACAGATGGTACAAATTATGACTATGTCGATTCGATCTCCGCGTTCTGGGGACGAAATGAAGGACAGTTTATACGGGGTTTACGCTTGATGCATTAACTTCACTGTGGTAGGCAAGAGGTGCACACTGGTGTTTGTCCTGTAAAAAGTAAGTCCATGCTGGACAATGAGGGGATGAAATGTAACACGATACATAGCGAGATGTTTTATATTCAGGAAATCTTGTGATGAGATAAAATACAATGTTTAGCGAGACATTTTGTTTGGGAAATGCGGAAGCAAAATCAAAGACGGTGCATTGGAATGGCTTGCTACTACAAACTGTATACATTTGTCTGGGGAATGCAGGGGAGAAATGAGAGATGTTGCCCAGCGAAGTGTTCGATGCACGCAATGCGAGGCGGAAGCGAGGACGGAACATACAAACAAATTGTTGCTACAAAATGCAAGGATTAGCATAAGTAGGTACAAGCGAGACGGGGAATTAAGCATGCACAGACTGATAGAAGGGAATACAAGCGAGACGAGGGATTAAGCGTACACAGACTGGTACAAGACTTGAAGGAGGTACAAGCTAGAAATAACACTCCATGCGAGGGAGACGGGGACGCCAGAGGGACGAGGGTTAGAGACAGCATCAATATCGTGGAGGAACAGAAGGCGTACTTCAAAGGCCCGCCTCGGTAGCTGCTAGCTAGCTCGGCTAGCTGGGCGCTGTCCGTAACGGGCATCGGAGTCGAGGGCTAGGCGAGGAGGATTGGGCTCGTTACTGTTAGGCTGAACGCGGACATGACGGGCGAGGGAACCGGGTCGGGGGACCCGCTACTAGCGTTGGTGCGCCCAAGAGTACAGGAGGTCGCTATCGATGTAATCCACGAGATGTCCCAAACGGGAAGCGTAGGCAATGTATCGTTACACTGTCGACTTGCATTCCGGATACTGTCGCAGTGACATGTATGTCGAGAAATGGCAGGGACTCGATGCACTGTGCGCTGCTTACTGACAGAGCCTCAGCAGAAAGGGGAGTTAGAGAGCAGAGGTCGCAGATGATGTATGATGATATGCGCGAGCTATTTGAACGTCTATATCAACGTGGCTTCAACAGCAAGGATTTGGGCAACAAATCCGACAGACCATTATTCTGCCAGCAGTTTTGAAACGCGGTTCTGTGTGCCAAATCAAAATCGATCCCGTCGAGCAGGGGAACCGCACAGCTGTTGACCGCCACATAGACCTCGAAATTTCGATATCAAAATCTGCTCTAGTAGGTTCGAGTTTGCGACTAAGCTTCATCCAGTTCGCACTCATAGAGCAGCTATCAACGATGCCCTAAGTCACACGCTCTCATGATATTGAGTAGAATTATGTTATTGTATCTAGCCACTCACGTCATAACAGGGTATTCTCGTGAGTCGTTGTTCTGTTGACTGTCGCGTTTTTGCGTCCCATACCGTGTTATCACTGTCATACCTGTTGCTGTCATCACCTTCACCTTCAAGAATTACTCTCGCTATCCACGGTAATTCGTAGTCGTATACTCAGCTTTCTGGTTCCGGGATAACGATGCGCCGCAGCGCTTGCCACGTTCAGCTATTAAAGCGGAATGTGCACGATTTGACAACTTGTGGAGGGTCAGCGCTAGTTTAACGGGCTTGCGTGCGGCGAATATGCAACATCAGCTTGTCATGAACCGCACAACCAAGACTTGCTAGACGCCGCTGCGGCGAAGATGTCGGGACCAGGAAGGTGTGATGCAAGTCACGTATCACGTTTCGAAGCGCGCTACGTGACCCTTGTGCACTGTGGCGGCGAGCCATCCACACTCGTTCCCCCTCACCGTCTCGCCTCGTACGACTCTCTGGGAGCCAGAAAAAGCTACCCCACACTAAAACTTCGGAAGTCAGTGCCCCATGTCCGCTAGGTGAGCCAACTTCATCGGGTGATGTCGTTGAAGTAGTCGCCTCTTGGTTGGACACTTGCTCAAATCCTTGCGCACAGGATGCGCTCGTATGATTCTCAAGCATTATAATCGTACCAGCGAATCGCAATATGTTGGTAATGTTGTCGAAACATCTTCGGATTGTGAGACATTACGAGGTTCGAGTTTGAGAGCTTGAAGCGTTGGTCCCCTGCCACGATGATCGGCAGCGAGCCTGAGTCTTACGCGTCAGTCAATACTCAGCCAAAGCCGAACATCCTCCGAGTGTGCGTCTAGATATAGTTCGTGTGCGAAGTCTCGCTAGGTCTCGGCATGCAGGATCTGAATATTACCCATCGTGCGTATAGGAGATAGCAATAAGGCCGCGAATGCTGAGCCTGACGTCCGCTATGGCAACGCGATAGCAGCAATGCGGGGCACGTCAAGAGTGAAATTTTCGCGCGAAGAAAACTACGAAGGGAGGGCGAAGCAGATCTGAGGGCGCTAGATGGGACGTTGGTAATTGCTGTCGGAGGTAATAATGCGTGCCGAATCTTCGTCGCGTCAGGATGCGCACTAGATTCACGACAATCAAGTGCAGCAGGAACATGCTTGTGCTCGATTCGCGCACGCCCTTGTTTTATCGATGAGAGATGAACGAATCAATGGCAGCGTGACGCGACGCACCTACTAACATCAGCTTCTGGAGTGCACAGAACATCCTGGATCATCCCACGCTCGTTGGACCAACTCCGCGACTTGCGGCGCTACGAAGCTCCCAGCTGGACCCGTGGAAAGAGAAGTCATGAATCAGCGGGCGTGTCCGCACATAAACTGAAAGTTTTCGCTAGCCCTACCCCCAGATTCCCTCGTCGAGAACCTCTCCTATCTCCGATATGGATTACAGCCCGTACCCCATCGATTCATCGAGCGCGACGTCCATGGTCCCCGCTGCGATACAATACCTACCTCTTCCATTTCCACAATGTCATAGTTATTACGTGCCCCATGGCGTCGATGAGCTCTTGCGATACCCTCCACCCAGAATCTCAAAATACGCACGAGGTGAAGCGATAGATCTATATGAAACGCCCATCCAGGTGAGAATTTTACATGTAGCATGGCATTGAACAGACACGTCGTCGATCAGCGTTGTCTGTCGTTTGCAATACGGCAACCGACGGACAGCGCAACGATACAGCTGCTCTCGACAGATTGGCGAGGTTCCATTTCATGTATTGTACTGACGAGCGCGCTCCAAGACGAATATCCCGTACATTCTGCCTAGCCCTCAAGCTGGACAATTTGTCCATGATACGGCTCAGTACCTCCAAGGTACTGAACAATCTGAAGTAATAAATGTACCCATCGCGGGATTATCCCAGTGGATTCAACCCGTGCAACACGAGGTCAGTTACACTTCTTCATTGTCCAGTAGCAGCCGTACTGAGAGAGTAGTCCAAGGATCAGCTTGAGCTTCTCAGTAGTACGCCAGAGGCCTGCTTTTCCAGTACCACGTACGAGCCAATGCACTCTACGCCTTCATACAACGCACCAGATGCCCTATCCTCCAATACCACGTACGAGCCAACGTACTCCACGCCGTCAGACAACACGGCAGAGTATGATGTGTCAATGCATATGGCCCCAGCATACGGTATGTCTGAGTACATGCAAAGTACGTGTACTCGCACGCGTACAACGTTCCATCCAATAATGTTGTGACGTACTTCCCAATCTCAGACATAGATTACCTTGTCTCCAATGGCGCTGACACGTGGCCATACAATACGTCTATGCCGGCGTACATCCCGGAAATGCCCAGCGCCCACAGCGATACTCAGGGTATGCATGTCCACGGATGTATGCTTGCTCGCTTAAGATGACACTGCTACGCATCTCAGGTATGGGGCTCTTGGCCAACAACGACGGCATGCCGATGTACGGCGCGTCCATGGGGACATATGCCGAGCAGAGGTACACCAGCCCGACATGTGGGGAGCCAAAGTACTCCAGGCCGACGCCCGTCGCTCCAAGCGACACACGGGACATGTGCATGCCGATGTCGCAGGCGCCGCCAGACAACACGGAGCTGTGCAGTATCCCCATGGCCACGCAGGGTACGTGTATCCGTGCACCTTCAATTCGATCATGATGCGATACGCCCCAGACGTAGGGCAGTTCGTTCTCACCAGCAACATGCTACCGTACGACGTGTCCATGTCGGTCGACATTGTGTCGGCATATGATGCGCCACTGTACACCGGACCGGTGCCCAACGCACAAGGTGTGATGCAAGGTATGTGTATGCACAGTGGCACGCAGTCACACTGATGAACGTGGCGACGCACCTCAGACATGGGACAACTCATCCCCAGTAGCGTGGCTTACCCCACGGATGCGAGCCAACCCGCCCCGAGTACAAGTTTGCCGCGTGAAGATACAGAGCCCGTTGAGCCGTCATCTGGCCCAATGCGCGAGAATCGACGACAGATGCGACAGAAAACCGGCTCGAAGAGAAAAAAGTCGAAGGACCAGCGCGCCGCTGCCGACCCGAACACCAATCCGTCGTGTGGCAATGGTTCCGGTATGGCACTAGTACTCTTCCTCCATCAGCGACATGAACAGGCTGATACTGATACTCACAGGCTCATCAACGAGAGAGGATGAAGGAGACGGCCCTAGGCAATATGATGCATGTACATCTTGGGGGTATGCCCGATGGGCTCCCCCGCCTGAGCCCAAACAGCGAGCTGGCGGGTCGTGTCTTCCGTGCTCGGAAAGGGCCAAGAGGTGCACTGGGAAGAAGAACTCGGGACAGCCTTGCCCGTAAGTCAGCTTTCAATTTATACGTGCAACCGGTCCCTGCCGCTACAGCAGAGCATTCCCATTGCAGAATGCTCTTCGGTAGTTCTTCGGGCCCGCAGAGCTGAGTGGGCACTAACGGCTCGAGAGTGCCCGACATTGCACGCGCTGGCATTCTCGTATCTCCGGGCTTCCGTTATTGTTCTCGGCAGCGGTTTGTGAATGTACTG